TTCCGCCATATTTTGTTTTCTTACTCGTTTTTAACCTGCAGTGTCCATTTGAAAGATACAAATGCATTCTATAATATCAAAACAATTACATGTTTCATTTTGTTCATGAACTTCCTGAATTAATAATGTTCTTTTTTTGTAATTTTTAAAGGTCAAAATCATTTATTTATATAACATACAAAAATACAACATTTAGTTACCATAATAAAAAATTTAAAAATAAAACATTAAATAATCATTCAGTCCTACTTCCCGCGGTATAGTGCCAAGAACGCTGGCTGCGTTTTCTCGCTGAATAGCTGTAATTAGCCTTTCAACGAGAAAATAACCAGCCCTCTTATCACCAGGAAGGCCAACAATTCGCAATCAGTCATAATATATAATATGAAAAGACACAAATTTAAAATGGTTCGAAGGTAAACATTTTGCAGAGAGGCCTTAACGTTACGCTTCGTCGCCCGACCGTTAACGAATGGAATCCGTAATGGGCACGTGGAGAGATATGATGCAGATGCGTTTGAATCGTTTGCTAAGTGTTTCCATTCAATAAACGCGTATTTGTTACTCATTTTAAAATACTAAATTAAGATCGCAATGCCTACAGCACGAGAAGTACTAATTTAAAAAGTATGTATGATGTAATCGATAAGAAATTAACCTGTTTTTAATTTTAAAAGTACGCAAGCTGGAATATCTACGCTTGCGTGGCCTAACGGATTGAGTGTGTGTAGAAACCTGTGTGTAGAAAAAGCACAAATTGTTGTAATATGTTTGTCTATAAATACATCCCAGTGGCACTGCATTTATATAACTTCTGTTATTATCGAATTACCGTGTAGAGGCGGTGTAAGAATATCCACTGCCCATTATCATAACGTAGGTGTCGTAAGAGGCAACAGAAGGAAACAAGTCAGGAGATGGGCAGCAGCGTCTTCCTAATAACGACTAAAAATAAAAAAAATACTGCAGTTACCAGCCCGCTTGCCAAGTTTGGCAACTATGGCAAATAGCTCCCCTATCAGGCAATCTATGAGGGAGGCCTATGTTCAGCACTATACTTTAATAGGCTGTATCGGTACGGAAACGGTACGGTAATCTGTGGACGAGTGAGTGTCTCTATGTTAACGGCTTTATAATATATAGTATGTATATATTCCACACAATAGTCTTCGATAGTTGTCGCTATGTTTGTTATAGCTACATTATCAACAACGGCCAGCAGGCCACTGTCACCTCTCACCTCCTCTAAGTGTGATTGCGTATTTGGGGTTCGACGCGTATACCTACATTTCAAAAATTTCCGAAGAAAATAGTATAGTATATTCACTTCGTTTTTTTTTGTTTAGCACATAGGGCAGGTGGGTAAATGATCGCTGTAAAGAATTTTCTAATTTAAAACTGCCTGCGCCGCTCTTGTACTTATGGTACACTTTGTCACGTTTAGTATAATAAAGTCTAAATCTGTGCGTCCTTGCTATTGTGTTCTAGCAGGTTCTAGCATTTTTAATTTATTTGAAATGACAAAAGTGACAAAATACAATAGAAGCGATCTCTTCCAGACTTTTCGGCTCAGCAACTTCTTTGATCACTTTAACATTACTGTTTGTCACTGGTATAAATAAGATTACTGTACAAATTTATCACAAACTAGCTGACATGCATTTAATAAAAACCAAGTACATATACTCATCACGCTGTGCATACAGACGAATGAGCCTTCTCTCAGTTTGGATTCGATATTTTTGCATGGATTTACAGATATCATCCTGCCACTAGAACGGTGCACGTGCACGGTCTGTCGTTCAGAAAAAGTAGACACATCAGTCAATAAACACAGCAGTCAATAAAAAATCGTGATGTTTTTATCACAGTACAAAGAACATTGTGATTCAGTTCTTCAGAAAGAAGCCCGAGTTTAGAGTTCAAACTTGCCTCAGACTAATTCCACGCTTTCAAAACTTTTACAATACCTGAGGTATATTTCTACTAATATTTTATAGTTTAATTTATTTAGTTGCTATAGCTATGACAAACAAATACACAAATATTTCTCGTTACTCTGAATAAATTTTTTATCGATTGTGTTAGGAGGTTTAACGTATGAGCTGACATATAAATTGGAACCAAAAATCCCTAATTAAATAAAGAAAAAAATAATCCGCACTTACTTTAAATAATTTTAAGTATGCGATATTTTTGGCCGGGACATGAAAAGGAGAGATTTCTTTTTTTTATAGGATAGGATGACAAACGAGCACACAATCCACCTGATGGTAAGTGGTTGCTGTGGCCCATAGACATCTACATTTATCCTCGTTTGCGAATCAGATGCGTTGTCACCCGTGAGGACTAAGATGGAATGCCTCTTTTCCAGTAAAAAGGGTCTCTGGTTCTCTACACTCACCATACGAAACACAGCAGTGTTAAGCTGCTATTTTACGCTGGTATTCTGTGAGAGCGTGGTCCTTCCCCTGTCGAGCCGACCCATTCGTGCTACAACTATACTACTAATATAGCTGCAGCATGGCTCTACCACGTATAAAACGTTTCTCGCCGGGGAATGTGTTTAGAGCTCGTTCTATTCTACACACATTACTATATGTAGAATCTTTCGGAATTTCCGAATCGGAAACTTTGATAGCGTAACTTTCGCTTACGTTTTTGTTGTGTCTGTTGTGACTACATAAATAGAACTTGTTCTATTTATGTAGTCTTTCGGAATCTTTGATGGCGTAGTTTGGGATTTCCTTGTTGTTCGGTTCGTTTACGCTATAGTGGCGCAATCACAACGCCTTCAAGTGCCTTGTAGTCTGCGGTGAGTTGAGAAGAATGCAAGTCATTTGCGAGAGTATTGTGAAACATAGGCACATTCTAGCGCAGAGAATAGCCTCAAGCAACAGAAAGTATTATTCTAATGTTGCGTTGAACTTTGTTAAGCTACGCTGGCTTGCGGTCACACAAACTGAATGGATCACCACCTTATCGTAGTGGGTGGCTAAGTAGCCGTAACTTGTACCCCGGTAAACTAAAAGGAACCCAAATGACTGGACCTAGGTAAATGGCTAGCCCGAGGTGCCTCTTCAAGTGGGCTTGCTGATCCCACTTCGACTATGATTTAGTGGTTCTCCTCTTCCCCTACAGCCGAGGACCAGATCCACTACCTTTACTGGTCCGACTTTCGCGGGCTTTCGACGGACTGAAGACCCCCCCGTATTTCACAAGTGGAGGAACATACATACACATACACACATACGAGTACGTATACATAATTAAATAAACTTTCACTCACATACCCTACAGTATTTATAAGTAGACTAGTTCCTAGCGTTTCATTGTTCCAATTTTAGAATTTAAGTAGTATATGACACTAAAATGGAATATAAAACATGTTTACGCATACTGCCTTGTACCATGGATATAGTAATGGAAGGGCGGACCCTCCAAACACAGGCATTATTTACTTAAATGGAGGTTCCAATCTACTAGTTTTCAAGACATGTACTTTTTGAAAATAAATAAAATTTATTTATTATTATTATTATTATTATTATTATTATAAAGATGCGTCTTGTACTGCAGCGCGCCTTGCCTAAGAAAGAAAATGGAAAGAAGTTGTACTATTCCGGGGAACAGCCGCAATGAGGTGGCTGACGCTGGTGGGGCTACGGATTTGCGACGAAGGAATACTAAGTGGTTATAATCGCTGCAACTTCGACATAACCCGTGCTTCCCTCGCGAGGTGGAAATGCGTGGGCATTTTCCCTATGAAAAAAAGGCTGGTTTGTAGCATCTGAACACCGCAGACAATATTTGCTCAGGAGCGAATGGAAAGGGTTCTTGAGGACGATGACGACGAACTTGAAATTTCAAAATGTTGCAAGTTGCGTGTATTCATATCATATTGGGATCATCAATTTGGCTGTCACAGGACAAAGAGTGATCTCCCTGCGGGCAAAGTGATCGTAGTATATTTTTTAATACATACGGAGTGTTTCGGTAATTTCTATAGCGTGATTCGATTCCGTTGTTGTTCGGTCTGTTTACGCTTATAATAATAGTTAAGTAAAGTTACAGCTAATATATCATACAGCTGGGTACAAGCCTCTTTCTGTTTCTGGGAGGTTATGAAGCGATTAGTCCGTCTACGTAGCTTCAGTGCTTATTGTCGGATTTAACAAAGCCTCGGAATATTTTACACCTCAGACATGCAGGTTTTCCCTGCATATCTGAAGTATAAGATTCCTTACGATGTTTACCGTTACCGCCGAGCACGTGGTAAATCAGCACTTAAAATTGTAATTAAACATTTTATTAGTAACGGCGGAGATTGAACCCGAGTAACTTGCGGACTGTGAGACTTAGCCAATGGGATGCCACGGCTCAATTAAGGTAATATTTATGCCGAAGCATCGACCGAACCAACCTAGTCTCATAATATATATATATATATATATATATATATATTATGAGAGTATATATATATATATTCATGCGCCTGCGCCATTATATAATTTCTGTGATATATACCGAGTGATTTGATCATTGAATCGGCATAACCGAATGAAGAGTATCATTTATTATCTGGTAGAAAATGGTACCCTTAGCCTTATATATCTGTTATTTTTTAAATTTTTTCCACTGTTGAACTAAAAATTGGTAGAGCCATGCTGCAGCTATATTAATTGTATAGTTGTAGCACGAATGGGTCGGCTCGACCGGGGAAGGACCACGATCTCATAGAATACCAGTGTAAAATAGCAGATTAATGTTGCTGTCTTTCGTATGATGAGTGTAGAGAACCGGAAACCCTTTTTACTGGATAAGAGGCATTCCATCTTAGTCCCCACGGCTGACAACGCATCTACATTTTGATTTAAATGTAGATGTCTATGGGCCACAGCAACCACTTACCATCAGGTGGTCTTGTGCTCGCTTGTCACCCTTATCCTATAAAAAACAGAAATGATACTTAAGTTTATAAATATTTTAAATGTACCTACTGAGTGAGCTGACATATCTCTGCAGGTAGTTCAGAGATCTTATTATTACTAATGTCGAGGTGAGTGAGCGCTGTCAACGTGCAAGTCTGCTGCGGCAGCGTCGACAATGCGCTGCTGCGCATGCGTAATACGCGTATCGCGAAGTCGTTTGAGGCATGCTGCGTCAGCACAGCTTCCAGTGAAGTGCGGCCACCTCCACTTAGATCTAGAACGTTCGGTGGTTGCGTGCTTTGAGTACTCTAAAATAAATAAAAATAAAATATTTTTGTATTTATTTCTAAATAAAGAAAAATCTAAGTTCACTTTTTCAAATACCTATACTTATAAGTCTTATGTTTTAACATTATTAACTAAATAACCTTTAAAAATATTGTTAACGAAGAGTATACAAAATAGAACAATAATATATCTAAGAGTTCGAAATTACTTTATGATCTATAGGGAAAGATTTATTTAAAATATAGTTCGTAAAAAGTACACATGTGTCTCAATTTAAATAGGTACTTTTTACGAGTAAATATGAAATTATTCTAGTTTCTAGAAGCCAAATAAACTTTTTTCGAACATACATTTTTGAATTAAAATTCTTATTGAATTTAAAACGGAAAACCAACGAAGTTTTGTGACATTACTAAAAGTTGTAAATTCAAATTAAATGGAATTTATTAAAGATGCTATCAAGTACCTAATTTCTTAATTGTTTTTATAGGCACAGATCATCAACACCAAAGTAAAGTAGTGCAAATACTTAAGTGTTATAGTAACTGTGTTGTACTGTATAACCTATGGTTTTATGTTAAGGACGTAAGACATTTCATTGAAATATTGTATTTTTGTCATTTCGTGTGTGTCATCCGTGTAAAGCAATCTATGGGTGATGACTATGTTTAGCAATAGATTGGATGGTGAATGAAAGTAACATAAAACGGACGTAGAAAATTTATCCAATAAAAATGGTTTCAAGTAAAAGCATTTAGGTACTGCTAAAAGGAATCAAAAATCAATATATGTATTGAAAAAAGAAAGAAACATTTATTGCAAATTCAATGGATGATAAATAAATCCTTTTTTGTTTTACACATGGAACCATCGTTACTTGTAAATTTAAAACAACGTACCCCATTTTCGTTATTTCCTTTAAACGTAGAAGGTTCTAAACTGTCAAGAAAAATATCTTCATTATATTGTTGATTGAATACGTCCAAACTATCTATTTCACTTTCTTCTGAATTAATCACATTTATTTCAACCATCATGATTCTTTTCTATATTTAATAACAAAGGCTGAGACATTGAAAAACAACTTTATAAGAATTTACTTATTTTTTAAGTTAGATTTTATGTTGACAGTGTTCGTTTTTGGTAAAAACAAAAGATAAATGATGTTTTAGCAAAAGCTAAACATGCTTCTAAGCGTAACCGCAGGGGGCCATCGAACTCCCCCCAGCATTGTTATTCCCAAAGACTACGGAATAACTCCTGTCTGCGAATTCATTATTCCATGCACGAACATGTTACTTGATAAATGACATTTAGGTGGCCTTGCTTGTGTACTGTATATTTTCGTTCAATCTCTTTAATTTACATTTCTAGTTTTTAACAAAAGGATTTTTCTAATAACTGTCACTTTAAATTCACTTAGCTATAAAACAATAATGCTGTTAGAATATTAAACTAAGTTTATTTTAGATTAATTTATTCTAGAGCACAAAAACGCGTTAGTGATATGTTCACGCCGGCTGTTTCAACGGACTGTACGCAAGCGGTGGAAACGATCTCTGCGCACGCGCAGTCTGGATATCTCAACCGTAACAAATCTTCTAGGGCGATGTGCACAATGTTATGGGTTAATTTTAGCTAACGAATTTTTAAAAGTTTGCAAGTTTGTGTTTATTCTATAAATCTCTAAGTAAAAAGTAGACTACCTACTTTATATGCGCAATGGTGTACTATTTATTCAAATGTCAACCTTACCTGATGCAGTTCAATTCTAATTAACAGACGAAGCTTTGTAGATTGACTGATGGCGGAAAATTTATGCAAAATGCGAAAAACAAATTATAAACACTGACGATGGAGATACAGTGACAGATGAGTCACTGGTAATTAACAGATGACAGAAAACCCATAGTACAATATTAATTCATTAAAGCTTATAAAAAGTCCACTATTGAACATGAACTCTCATAGATTGCCTCTTAAGGACTGATAGATAGGACCCTCCTCATAGATAGGACTCCTTTCTTGCCTAGGAGTTCGTCTGCGTAGGACCCCCTATCTTACTTACTATCAGTTCATGCACAGCTGTGTTCCAGACTGAAGAACTAGTGTAAAGACAAACCATGACTCATCACCTTTTCTACCGTTTTCAAAAAGGAGGAGGTGCTCAATTTGACTGTATGTTTTTTTAATGTGTGTTACCTCATAACTTTTTTCTGAGTGAACCGATTTCGTTGATTAGTTTTTTATTTGAAAGCTGGTGTTTCTCGTGTGGTCTCATATAAATTTGATCAAGCTTTGACCAAAAGTTTTTGAGTTATTCTTAATAATTTATATTGAAGTCAGTTCTTTAGACGTGGTAGAGCCATGCTGCAGCTATATTATGGTTGTAGCACGAATGGGTCGGCTCGACCGGGGAAGGACCACGCTCTCACAGAATACCAGCGTAAAATAGCAGCTTAACGCTGCTGTGTTTCGTATGGTGAGTGTAGAGAACCGGAGACCCTTTTTACTGGAAACGAGGCATTCCATCTTAGTCCTCACGGGTGACAACTCATCTGCATTATGATTCGTAATCGAAGATAGATGTAGATGTCTATGGGCCACAGCAACCACTTACTATCAGGTGGACTGTGTGCTCGCTTGTCACCCTATCCTATAAAAAAAAAACAATTTTTTTAATTTAAAATTATTTGTTAATTACATTCTTCTTTATTTGAAGTAGGCTGCAGGTGTGTATGGGCTGCAATAGCCACTTACCATCAGATGGACTGTAAGTTCGTTTATCACTTAATTTTATATTAAAAAGTTGTCACGCTTTGCCTATCCGCCTGCTAAGAGTTGTCAAACGATGGCAAATATATTTCCTATAAGAAAATCTATTGGCGATGCTTTTGTTCAGCAGTAGCCTTTGATACGCGCGAGGCATGAACGAATGGATTATGATAAAAACATCTATGCACGTAGCGATTTAGCGAACGTGTTAGTATGATCGCATACAGGATACAGACGGCGAATTCTTTCAAATTAATACCACCAGTAGAGAGTTTACGATCTCTTACTCAAATTCATCTTTATATTGATTTGATTAAGCTAGCCCCTGATATACATGTATAATATTCTAGTTTACCTTTACCATTGTAAATATTTGTGAATGTAATATGTTTATCAATAAATATTCTTATTATTTATCGTTTTTATAAAGTATGAAAATGACAAACGAAATAATATTTGAAGACTAGAAGTAATTAAACCTTATAATCCAACGCGTATTTTGGTAAGAAGTCAATGACATTTTCCTTGTTTCAAATACATATATATATATATATATATATATATATATATATATATATATATAAACTTTCGCTGCTCTACGATTGTTGATACGAATTAAATTATAACAATACCATAGTACAGCCCTACGCTTAGTAATTTTTTTACATGGGCATGACAAAAATTTGATTAGCAAAGAAATTTCTAACAATTTTATTCTGTTATGTTACGGTTCGTTAGTTGACGAAGTGTACCGGAATCGAATTCCCGATCATCTGCTTAGACATAGCTCTTTATGGTTCAACGCAATTTAACAAAACACTCAAGAATTGCTCAAACATTATGTGATTTAAATACAAGAAAAAGCTTGGAAAGTTTTCCGTATAGAATGTGCGTAAATTAATTTTAACCTTTAGTTTTAACCCTCGACGCAAAAAGAGGAATATGTTTAACGTGTATCTATATCTGTGTATTTGTATGTCTGTCTATGGAATCGAAAATCGTTTCTTTTTTTAATTTAAGATATTATTTATCAAATATAACAAATGGTGAGTTTAAGTTTCTAAGCGTCTGGTACCTCATTAGGCTATGGTAAAAAAATTTACGAGTAAAATACAATTTTGTTGTATATATTGCTTAATTAATTGACATATTACAATAAAATCAGGCCAAATAAAGACACATCTTAAACGTTTCTGCATTTATATTTAACAAGTCTAGTGCAAATAACTATAGATACAAACTATATTTGTAACTAATAAAATTATCCACTCCGAAATGTATTTATCAAGATGCACAACGTCCACTAACGTCAACAATCTTTCTATTTAACACACATACATATTAGGAGTGATATTAAATAAGCATAAAGCTGACCTTACCTCTTTCAGCCAACAGAACCACATATTTCTTTCCCAAAGTGTACTGAAGCCCAGAAAAAGATGATTTACACCAGATTCAAGCAGGTTGTTGCCATGACAACGAGGCTTTACGCAAACCACCAGCTTTTGAGCTTTAGGTTGACATAGCTCAATACTTCCTCCGCTTAATTCTAGAACATCCCATGCTACACCTACAAAACCAAATAAGTTGATAAAGGAGTATTATGTAACACGGCCAATGATTCGAAAAAATATCTAAGCTTACCGTAGGTATATAGTCTGGACCCAATGATATACGCTTGCCGAGGTTTCCACTGTGGAAATACATGACCTTTAAGTACGTGGATAGTTCCCGATTGCAGAACTCCACCTGATGGTCCAGAAGGCCCAGCACACCAACGAAGTGTATGACGCAACTCAGGGTCAACTGCCAATCGTAATCTTCGTGCTTCGGAAATCCACCCATTTTTCATAAGAAAATCCTCCTGTATTTGCAGAGGACATTCATTCGGTTCCAGACGTCGAGAATTTTCACCGCCTGTTTGAAGCCATATTGTAAGTTCATCACTCAGGCCTAGCTTTTTGTTTAATTCTTCAACTGTAGTCTTCTTCGAAATCCTAACAAGTTTGCTTGGACATTCAACAGCGAAAGGTTCTAGCCCATCGAAAACGCGTATCCAGCCGTGTTCGTTCGAAGTTCGTATTTTAAAGCCTCGTGTAGATGCAAGACGACGGAGTGACTTGCGTCGGACGTGAGGCGATGGTGCGTGCAAGCCATCATCGCAAACCATGACGCGACGGCAGGTGGACGCGAGGTACGGTGGCCGACGTCGTAATGCCCGCGCGCCGGACGCCGTATCCGCCGTTGCATTACAATTGGGTCGGAGACGTAGTGGGGGTGGGAAACATGTTGTTCAGTCACTCGGGAATACGATAGAATGCAACGAATAAATTGGGAATAAACAAACACCTTATCATAATATTTTATGTGTTTTAATTTAAAAACTAAAGGATAATATTATTTGTATACGGTAATATAAACTGTTATATACTATGAATTATAAAATAAAGTATTTTAAATACTATTAGAAGGTAACAAACGTAACAGCAGTTACGCATCAGCGATCACCCCACCTGTTGAGTCACCTGCTGCGCCCGAGAACCCCAGGCCTTCCACTTAAGAGCTAGATAGAATGAGAAATATTATAGAAAATGTCCTAAATAATTTATTAAATAACTTATTACATTGACATCACTAATTCTGTTAATTATGGGAGATGCTTTTAATATAAAAAATAAATAAAAATTTAAAATTTTATATTATTATGTAATACGTTTCAAATTTATATCTTACTCTAGGTATTTTACTTTATTTTATTTATTTAATATTAGGGATAACAACACCGTAACAATATAAAATATTATGCAAACTAGTTTAATGAAGTAATTACAAAACAGAACTTAACTAAGTACGTGTGAGCAGATGAGATGAGAGTGATACAGTTAAACAATAACAATTACAAACTATTATGGTTTGGTTACAATCTTAAATTATAAATTTTAAATTATAAATTTGTGTATTTTAAAGTAACGAGGTGAAGTAAAAAAAGAGAGCTTTATTATATGATATTTCATAATTATATATAGCTTTAGATATATCATAAATATATAAAAATATTTTACAAATTTATTCAGGTAGTTTACATATTTATAACGTCACCACGGGTAATTTTTGTGTATCCGTTTAGATCCGCATAGGCATGTGGCGTTACATATTCCTTGTCGGCAGATGTCTGATGACATCTCTACCAAGGAGTCACAATTGGAGTAGTAATCCCTTCTTGGACACACATTAGTGCAAAGCGAGTCTTGCACACAATTCTGTGGACAGTCTCCGCATGGAGGTCCCGCTTTATAAGGATATTGCGTTATTGTATCATAGTTGCCACTGAAATTAAAATAATGATAATTTAATATTTGAAAGCAGGATGTTCAGGCCTAGTGCACAATGCCTAATGGAATTTCTTATCTTACTGTTTGCTGTGATTCATGAATATTTAAAATGAATTTACTGTTCATAGTAAAATTTCTATACGTGGTAGAGCTACGCTGCAGCTATATAAGTAGTATAGTTGTAGTACGAATGGGTCTGCTCGACCGGGGAAGGACCACGCTCTCACAGAATACCAGCGTAAAGTGGCAGCTTGACACTGCTGTGTTTCGTATGGTGAGTGTAGAGAACCCGAGACCCATTTTACTGGAAAGAGGCAATCCACTTAGTCCTCACGGGTGACAACGCATCTGCATTTTGATTCTTTATTGAGCATAAATGTATATATCTATGGGCCACAGCAACCACTTACCATCAGGTGGACTTATGTGCTCGTTTGTCACCCTATCCTATAAAAAAAAGTTACGAGTGAAAGTGATAAACCACCACACAATCCATCCGATGTTGAATAACTAACTACGCCAATCTCTAACTAAATACCTAAATCTCTCTAAAATGATTTTTTCATTAAAATGATGCTACGAACGGACCAACAGTCGACTTGATGGTAAGTGGCTACTGCAGTCCGTGGACACCTGCAGCAGACTTCAAACAAAGAAAGCTACAGATTACAGATTGAATAATAAATTGAATGATAATTTGATATGTCAATGATAAATAAAATAATTATTATTTAAATGATATTTGAATAATAAAATGAATTTTTCCTATAATTTTTGCTATCACCTTCCCAAATATTAAAACAATTGAAACGTCCGATAACGATAACGATAAAATAAGCTATATGCTAAAGCTTATTTTATTAAATCAAATTTACTGACATTTACATCATATTGTCCTTGCAATTTATCGTGGTGGATATCCATTTACTATTTTACATGGACATAGGTAAACCGTGGAAATTAGAACATGTAGTGGCAGTGTAAGAATATCAACTATCCCATATCGTGGGTGTCGTAAGAGGCGACACAGAGGGAAACAAATCAGGAGATGGCCAGCAGTGTCTTTCTAATAACGACTAAAAATAAAAATGAAACTACGGTTGCCAACCAGCTTAGCAAGCGTGGCAACTATAGCAAATATGAGGCAATTTAAGGGGGAGGCATGTGTTCAGCAGTGGCCTTTAATTGGATGTAACGGTAATATTATAAAACAGGGAAGAGTCACTTTAATTTAAAGCCTCTTGACGAAAAGCAGCGAAATTCTGTTACCATTTCCAGAACAAAGGTCAAGAAAAAAAATCTATATTAAATATATAAAAATCCAATTAGATAAACTTTTTCAAAACTTGACATGAGGAGAACGAGAGATGTTTTGTAATAATTTCATTATTTTATTTACCTATAAGACTATGGTTGTGAATATAACGTTAATGAAAATGGCACATGACACAGATTAATAACTGATTTCATATAAAACTTGTTTTATATAAATTGTTACCCAGGGCAGTAGTGACACACGTAGTTATAAAAATGTCCCCAAGGTCCTCCAGGACAATGAGCAAGTCCACATCCAATTTTGTGACTCGTAGCCCAAACCATTTGTGTGTAATGTCCAATTGTTTTAAAATTATGAACTGGTAACCCGTATGTGAAGTTTTGATATTCTAAAAACCATGTTTTAAGCGCAAAAAACCTGAAACAAAAAATTGTGATAATTTTTTTAACATACTGAGTACCGCAAGTCTACCGAGAGAAAAGTTCTGTAAAATTTTGATTTGTATTATTAGTCAATCTATATATAAATACTAGCTGTTCCCCGCGACTTCGCTCGCGTGTTAGGGTTTTTATGTTTTTGCGCGTTAATTTTAGAAAAAGAATTAGGTAATTCTTTTTCTAAAATTAAAGTAGGCTAAATTACTCCTTATGAAATCGGCTATCTGCCAGTGAAAGCCCCGTCAAAATCGGTCCAGCTGTTTCGGAGATTACCCGGAACAAACAGACAGACAGACAAAAATTATAAAAATTGTATTTTAGTTATAAGTACCGTATTTACTTTTATATGCATTTAGTAAAAAACTGTAATTTTGACATTACAAACAGACACTTCAATTTTATTTATTTGTATAGATATATATCGGCTTGAGTAGAGAACCGAAGACCCTTCATACCAGAAACAAGGCATTTGATCTTAGTCCTCAAGGGTGAAAATGCATCTGCATATGAAATGAAAATGCAGTGGAGCCATGCAGAACCCTGGTTCTACATGGCTTCACCACCAGCTGGTTGAGTCAATTTTGTACGAAATTAATTTTGAGATTAGTTTTATGGTTTTTTCTTTTTTATAAGGTTTTTTTTATAACTAAGGTTTATTATCATTTATTATTATTTTGTATAAGTATCTAGTACATAATGATCTCTACCAGACATGGAATATTAGGGCATCAAAACGCTTTGGTCGGTTACACGTAGGAAAATACTTGTGATTGATTCCGTGGAGCTCAAGTTCATCATTTTAAAAGTCTTAGTTTATCATCAAACAGTATTGTCAAATCTTTAAATCTATAATAAATATATAAAATTTGCCTTATATGTATTTACGATATGTATGTACTCGTATATATACATATACGCTACAGCTATACGTAGGTCACTCAATAAGTTTTGAGATGCTCGAAATTTAAAAATGGAACGCATACGTGTTTATATGTTTCTAAAAAGCAAATTTATTTAAAAATAGAACTCCATAATCCAATTGCTCAATATTAAAAAAAACAAAGTTCTATTAATTTTCCTGCAACGCTTCCCGCGCTTTTCATTTAAAACGATGGATCTTAACCGTGAACATTTGCGCGCTGTGATATATTATGATTTTAAGTTTGGTTTAACCGAACAATTAAGTTTAAAACGGTTACAATCAGCATTAGGGGAGTCAACTCCATCACGCGTAACAATTTTTAGGTGGTTTGCTGATTTCAAGAGACGTAAAATTAATCTTAAAGATGACCAAAGAACCGGGGCCCCGCAAACAGCAGTAACGGCAGAAAATGTATGAACTACTTAAATGTTGGTGCGAGAAGACCTACGAATCACATATGCGGACATCGAAAAGATTATAGGCCTTAGTTCGGGGAGCATTCATACCATCCTACATCAACACCTTGGAGTGAGGAAGCTTTGTTGTCGATGGATCCCTCGTTTGCTCTCCGAAAGCGAGAAACAGACTAGTGTGGATTGGTGCCATGAAATGCGTCTACAGTTACCGACAAAACTTCAAAGACCTCGCAACGTCGGCAAAAAAATGGTGGCTAGTTTTTTTTCGCGGAGCGGACATTTGTCGACGTCAATGCCGAAAAATTGTAGGTCAGTCAACTCTGAATGGTATGCTACAGTTGCATTACCCAAAGCTTTTCAAGATGTGCGGGAGAGAAGACCAAAGACCGGGCTTCGGGGAATCATGCTGTATCACGATAACGCCTCTACACATAGCTCCCTCAGAACAAAAGCATTTATTAAGGAATCTGGTGTTGAAACTCTAAGTCACGTACCTTACAGCCCTGACTTAGCTCTTTGTGATTTCATTTTGTTCCCAAGAGTCAAAGAAAAAAATAAAAGGCAAGTTTTTTTCAAGCGCCGAAGAAGCCGTGGCTGCCTACGAAGAAGCGATTTCCGACCTGTCAGATCAAGACTGGCAAAAGTGTTTTCAGAGTTGGTTTAGGCGAATGGAACTTTGTATAGAGAATGATGGAGAATAATGATTTCTTATATTTACGCGAACACTACACATTTTTAAATAAAACTAATTTTACGGATTTTATCGCGTATATTAACTTATTTTTATATTCCCGACGTTTCAGGTGCTTTCCAGCACCCGTGGTCACGGGGGACTGAGGTGTTTGGCATCCTGCTGTCATAGTTAGCCCGGCTACCTTCAGTTTTTTAATATTAATTTTTGGTTCGATTTACGCAGAATGAGCTTACAGTATCTTGAAGTCTAGCAGTAGTATACTTGGGTTTGGATTTGATTTTATTAATTATGGGATCCCAAGTAGATGTCAGTTAGCTACCGTGGGAAAATCTTTGTTTCAGAGAGCACAAGGGATCTGTGACAGAAAACATCTGGCCGCCGAGCACGTCGAGCAAGTACTGCAAGACAACAAGCTTCAGGTCCCGCGCCTACGTCACAGTGACCGAGTGAAGCCAGCCACAGTCGAGCGTGTGCCTGCTGTACTACCCTATGTCAGAGGAGTCACAGACAAGGTTGTCTACATCTTGAAGCGAGCTTCCATTAAAACATACTTCAAGCCGCTGATGAAGATTGGTCAATTTTTACCATCCGTCAAGTGTCATATCCCTCTACAAGATGCAGGAGTGTACAAGCTGGATTGTGAATGTGGTCTCTCGTACACAGGACAAACCAAAAGATCTATAAAAACCCGCGTTAAAGAACATATAGCTGACGTGAAGCACCGACGTATCGGGAAGTCTGCAGTTTGTGAACATGTTCAAGATCGTCCCCGCCATTACTATCGCCATTTGATAGACCACAAATCCTCGCAAATGAACACCGATTCCTCCCAAGGATGATTCGCGAGGCTATTGAAATTAAAAAACATCCTATCCCTCCCATAATTAATAAAATCAAATCCAAACCCAAGTATACCACTGCTAGACTTCAAGATACTGTATATACTTCAAGATACTGCTTTCCAGCACCCGAAACGTCGGGAATATAAAAATAAGTTAATATACGCGATAAAATCCGAAAATTAGTTTTATTTAAATGATGGAGAATATTTTGAAAAGATGTAAAATAAATATTAATAGTATCTAGAATACTTTTTGTATATCTCAAAACTTATTGAGTTACCTACGTATTATGACTGCGATTCATCCGTGCTTTAGCCATAATATAGCTGCAGCGTGGCTTTACCACATAAAAGAACCTACTCGTACCATAGAAAACAGAAAAAATACACACAAAGGTGTTTTGTTTTAATCGTTCATAAAAACAGTAAGGTAGAAATAATGATTATAAGATTATCACTATAATTTTTAAAGAAACACTACGCAAAAGTTAATTGATGGCCATGGATAGAATGGTACCAGTTGAGGAAATACCTCAATGAATACTAACAAAAAATGAACTCGCATTCATTCGTGTGTCGGCACTATTAATTTATCATCTCATTTATGGGCACAAGGAACGTAAGTTTCGAAGAATTAAAAATATACTGCTTCCACTCTTCGCTCATAATTTTTTATGTATTACTAAAATCGATCTCCAAACCGTTTTTTCCTATAATTACTAATACGAATTTTTAAGATTTATCGTTTCCAAAGCAACAAACGTGGAAAAATTTAGGTACAAAAAGATAAAATCAAAACCTCATTATTTTTTACTTATTATAAGCCAGTACTTGGCAAATGGTGGTAAGTGTCGATGACGCCCTAGATAGTAAATCACACTGTCTTAGCGTAACAAAAGGCTATTCACTCTTGCCTTCAAAACACCCAGATTGTGGTCGGACGGAAAGACAGAGACGCCGGCAAAGTGTTACACTACGTATTGTACGCATTAAGAAAAACGAAGCAAACCGTTTGGCTTAAAGCTATTATATATTGACAACAAATGGGTGAAAATCCGTCAACCACTTAGTTGTCCGATGGTAATGGATGGAATTAAGGGATGTAATTCCTGTTTTATTTTATTAATTATTCGTGTTAGTTAACTAACTACTGACTTATTCAGTTAAATTTCATAGTACACAAGTAACCCAAGTTCGATCCCCACAGGCACTACTTAAATTATTAATTGTAAGTTTATATAAACAAAAGATATTTAGAGGACATGTAATATCCGCTAGTCACTTACTTTGTTTGTATATGAGTCGTCTGGGTAGGTACAACCCTCTAACCTATTTGTATCAAATAGCAGTGATTACACTACTGTGTATTCCGGTCTTAAGATTATAGGGCTATAGGGAGTCACTGTAATTACAGAGGCTGTGAAACATTACATAGTGACAATGCTCACTGCTTGCTTATCTGTGGCTTACTTTGTTTGTATATGAGTCGTCTGGGTAGGTGTAACCCTCTTACCTATTTGTGTCAAATAACCGTGCTTACACTGCTGTGTATTCCGGTCTTAAGTGTATAGGGCTATAGGGAGTCACTGTAATTACAGAGGCTGTGAAACATTACATAGTGACAATGCTCACTGCTTGCTTATCTGTGGCTTACTTTGTTTGTATATGAGTCGTCTGGGTAGGTGCAACCCTCTTACCTATTTGTGTCAAATAACAGTGCTTACACTGCTGTGTATTCCGGTCTTAAGTGTATAGAGAGTCACTGTAATTACACAGGCCGTGAAGCATTACATAATTACAACGCTTACTGCTTACTTATCTGTAGCTTACTTTGTTTGTATATGAATTGTCTGGGTAGGTACAACCCTCTAACCTATTTATGTCAAATAACAGTGCTTACACTGCTGTGTATTCCGGTCTTAAGGGTATAGAGAGTCACAGTAATTAGACAGGCTGTGAAGCATTACATAGTGACAACGCTTACTGCTTACTTATCTGTACCTTACTTTGTTTGTATATGAGTCGTCTGGGTAGATACAACCCTCTTACCTATTTGTGTCAAATAACAGTGCTTACACTGCTGTGTATTCCGGTCTTAAGTGTATAGAGAGTCACTGTAATTACACAGGCCGTGAAGCATTACATAATTACAACGCTTACTGCTTACTTATCTGTAGCTTACTTTGTTTGTATATGAGTTGTCTGGGTAGGTACAACCCTCTAACCTATTTATGTCAAATAACAGTGCTTACACTGCTGTGTATTCCGGTTTTAAGGGTATAGAGAGTCACTGTAATTACACAGGCCGTGAACCATTACATACTAACAACCCTTACTGCTTACTTATCTGTAGCTTACTTTGTTTGTATATGTGTTGTCTGGGTAGGTGCAACCCTCTTACCTATTTGTGTCAAATAGGAGTGCTTACACTGCTGTGTATTCCGGTTTTAAGGGTATAGAGAGTCACTGTAATTACACAGGCCGTGAAGCATTACATAATGACAACGCTTATAACCTATTTGTGTGAAATAGCAGTGCTTACACTGCTGTGTATTCCGGTTTTAAGGATATAGAGGGTCACTGTAATTACACAGGCCGTGAACCATTACATACTGACAACCCTTACTGCTTACTTATCTGTAGCTTACTTTGTTTGTATATGTGTTGTCTGGGTAGGTACAACCCTCTAACCTATTTGTGTCAAGTAACAGTGCTTACACTGCTTTGTACTCCGGTCTTAAGGGTATAGAGGGTCACTGTAATTACACAGGCTGTGAAGTATTATATAGTGACAACGCTTACTGCTTACTTATCTGTAGCTTACTTTGTTTGTATATGAGTCGTCTGGGTAGGTACAACCCTCTAACCTATTTGTGTCAAATAGCAGTGCTTACATTACTGTGTATTCCGTTTATAAGGGTATAGAGAGTCACTGTAATTACACAGGCTGTGAAGCATTACATAATGACAACGGTTACTGCTTACTTATCTGTAGCTTACTTTGTTTGTATATGAGTTGTCTGGGTAGGTACAACCCTCTTACTTATTTGTGTCAGATAGCAGTGCTTACACTGCTGTGTATTCCGGTCTTAAGGGTATAGAGAGTCACTGTAATTACACAGGCTGTGAAGCATTACATAGTGACAATGGTAACTGCTTACTTATCTGTAGCTTACTTTGTTTGAAGTTGACTGCAGGTAGCTATAGACTGCAATAGACACTACCATCAGGTGGGCTGTAAGTTCATTTGTCTTATTTCGTTTCACTTATTTTTCATAATATTTAATTGTACATAATATATTATATAAACTGACATTTTTAAGAAGTACTTCTTAAAAAATTCAGTACTAGTAACGTTATTTTTTTTTTATAGGATAAGGGTGACAAACGAGCACACAGTCCATCTGATGGTAAGTGGTTGCTGCGGCCCATAGACATCTACATCTTCCTCTATTACAAATCAAAATGCAGATGCGTTGTCACCCGTGAGGACTAAGATGGAACGCCTCATTTCCAGTAAAAAGGGCCTCTGGCCACCTGCACTCTCCAAGCGAAAAGCAGAGGTAAACCTCTACTCCACGCCGGTATTCTGTGAGGTCGTGGTACCACCCCGGTTCGAGCAGGCCCATCCGTGCGACAACAAAAGCCGCCGCGTGGCTCTACCACTGTTAGACTATATATTAATATTACTATTATTTCCATTAAGCTTTCATTCTTTATATGCGTGGGTTAGGAGTATTTCGCTATAGCAGTCGAATAGTGGTATCGAACTTTGTAGGTTTTTCGTACTTTTTAAGTTTGCAGTCTTTACCTTTAAACATTAGGCTGTTGTCGCTTTAGTTTTACATTAGGGCGGAATATCTTATTTAACCTAAAACCGAATGTATTTAATATACACTTTAGAGGCGTATATTTAAGAATACAGTAATTATTTTTATTTTTATTCATTATTGCATTCCTTAATCTAAAAGAATACAAAGGGCGGACTTAATGCCTTGTGGCATTCTCTACCACTCGCAATCGTAATGCAGAAATTATGGGTACAGCAAAGGAGTGGAATAAGTTGCCAGAATATGTATTTCTACTTCCATTCGATTATAATGTGGGTGTCTTTAAGGCAAGAGTGAATAGGCTTTTGTTAAGTCAGTGCGCTTCACCGTCTTAGGCTATATCACCCACTTACCATCAGGTGGGATTATAGCTGGCTTGGAAAAGTAAAAAAAAATGACTAGAATAACTACTTTAAATTTACCATGGGGTTTTCTGTGCTGCAACAAATAGATTCTGTCCACAAGATCCTAGATATGGCACAGTGTTTTCCTGTAGGTCGTTGTGCTGCAGAAATATGCATCGTTCCGCATAATTTTGAGCTTGACGTGCTGCGCCGGCGTGCCAGGACTGCAAATATAAAAAACACGATATCGCAACATTTTGGAGGTAAAAGGCCAAAAACTAAATTTGTATCTACACTTCTAACATATAATAATGGATGTTGATATAATCGGTTTGAATTTAATAGATTTTGACATTTGATCGATCACCTTCATGGTGTTTTACTTGGAGTTGGCCCGTATAAGTATTTTTCATGGAAAAGGTTTTTATGCCATATACTTTTTTTATAAGTCACGACTATATGACGATGCAACACATCAACCTCTATACCGTTCAATCGATCGCCATGAAATTGAAAACTGGTGTAAGTATATCTTATAAAGAAAAAATGTTTTATTTCAAATAGCCGGGCAGCAATATATGTAAAGTTGGAACCAACCACATGGAGTGAGTGAAAAAATATTACAATCGCCTCTTTATTTTTAGGGTGAGAAACAAGCATAAAGTTAACCTGATGGTAAGTGAGTAAGAAATGCAGGTGCGTTCCCGCTTTTCAAGACTGAGGCGTTAGTAGGAATCTTTCGTTACCAGCTGATAGGGTCTCCAGTTCTCGTCTATCACCAAATGAAATACAGCGGCATTATGCTGCTAATTCACAGTGTTATTCTGCGCGAGTCGACCCCTTCGTACTGTGACTATAATTATGCTGTATCGTAGCTTTACACGTATATGCTGCAGCCAGGCGCTATCATCTCTAAAATTGCGTGGTTAACTGTGTGCGAGTACCTAATGTGACGAGTGAATTGCTATGACCCAAAACAAAATGCTGCAATCAAATATATAAGTAATAAATAATATATAAGATAATCTTTATTTTAAAAAATCCGATGCGCATGTGTTTGTAGCGCTTCTCCAAAACTTGACCGATTTTGATAGAATTCTTATGGGGTACTTATAAGGTCACCTGAGTGGTTTTTTACGATACGAAACAATATACCCAATTTCTTATGGTGCGTACACATTATATAACATAACATGTTATAAAACGTGTTATATAAGGTAACACTAATGTTATATAACTCGAAAGGCAGAACGACAAACGACAATGTTATACGACAATGTCATATAACATTGTAATATTGCATTGTTATCATGATGTGTATAGTATTGTTATATGTTGCAATGTTGAAAAACAATGTTACGTAATGTGAACGTGTTATAAAACAAAAGTTACACAACATGTTACTTAATCTGTACGCACCCTTAAAAACAATATTACAGGTGAGCATAGCGTCAGAAATCAAGCTACAAAACTATTTAATAAACTAGATTAGGTAGTATATTAAACCACAAACGCCCTAAAAGCCATAAATAATGTTAACATATTTAAACAAAGGTTAAAATCTATTTATTTGAAAAAAGTTTCTATACGGTGAACGGATTAGATTTAGTTTGTTAAAGACTAATTTTGCATGCATAATTTAATTATTAATTATTTACTAGACATTTTGAAGTAAACACGAATAATGTTAATTAATTTAATTTTATATTTTATGTTTTAACTGAGTTTACCCACAATTTATATTGTTTTTGGAATAAATGACTAATGACTAGAATAATTGAACCTGGTAGGCGGCGCTGTCGTCGAAATCCAGAAATCACCCGTGGAGAGCCAAAGCGGATCACCGGTATACATTTTTTTATAGAATAGGGTTACAAACGAGCACACAGCCCACCTGATGGTAAGTGGATGCTGTGGCCTATAGACATCTACATTTATCTTCAATTACGAATCAATATGCAGATGCGTTGTCACCTCTGAGGACTAAGATGAAATGCCTCGCTTCCAGTAAAAAGGATCTCCGGTTCTCTACACTCACTATATAGAACACAGCAGCATTAAACTGCTATTTTACATTGGTATTCTTTGAGAGCGTGGTCCTAACCCCGGTTGAGCCGACCTATTCGTGCTGCAACCATAATATAGCTGCAGTTCGGCTCTACCACGTAAAAATATTCCATTAAAGCACACATTATGGATACATGTACCTTTGAAAATGGAACGTGATATGTAGATACATTAAGATATAGGTTACGTGACGATCCTTGGAATAGTTATACAGGCAACAAAACATAGGTAGGTAAGTTTCCATGTATTTTTAAGAATATAATGAAGCCGAAAACACGTAGCTACAGTGCGGATCGGCATACAGAACGACCTTAAGATGGATTCCTTTATCGAGAGAACGTTGTAAAAAAGCAATTAAATAGACATTTATAATTTCAGTAGCGTTGTCTATATTGTTTTAAAAATATTTTAATTTACTATAAATTGTTATGATTGCTCGATAATTGTGCATTCTTGGAATATCAAACTTAAAACTAAAATATTTAAATGAAGTTAAAGTATTTTTCTTTAATTATTTCTGTTCAAAAAAGAATGTAGCAACAAAAAAGGCCTAATTAAAGAATAAGTAAGAATAACTTAATATAAAAACAAGCATATTCAATTTGTAGAGTCACAAAGCATAATACAAAATTTATTGGTTTAAAATAATTTCTAACATCTGACCAACAGACTGCAAAAGACATACTTTTTTGAGTATACGATAATCTGAAAAAATCCTTATAAGGGTGTAAATATTTTTTGTCTAGGAGTCCGTCTGGCTGAGTAACACCCTTTTTCCTATCTATATCCGTTGCTAAGAGTAGTGCATCTACTGCTATGTTCCGGTTTTAAGAGAGAGAAAGAGAGAGACAGAAACAAAGAGAGAGAGACAGTTATAAACTGTGTGGCATTCCAGGTTCAAATCCTCGGAGGTAACTCATCTGAATTCCTTTCTCTTTGATGTAGGTAGTGTTCATTAAACATCGATTGTTGAAGTATTCGATAGTAATCAATAGTTTCTTATAAGGCCATCGATATATCGATAGACTATCGATTGTCTTTGAACATGTATCAAAAATAAAAATAACAATAAGTTATTATTGTACTTTTTTTGTTTGCTCGTCTTTGAGAAATTCGCAATATGTCATTGGCTAGTGTAGAACTGTGAAGCAAAGTTACAATAGATTCTTTAAAGAACTTCTAGATTTTTTGGTTACACTTCATCTTGAACTTGATGTTCAGACGATGATCCCTCTTCCGATTCTAACCTATCTATTTTATCGGCATGCTTTCTTTTCAAGTGATCTCTTAGATTGGTCTTATTTCCTAAATGCTTATATTCCTGATTATAAAAGTTATACTTTACAAACAGACTATTACTATCCACTATCTAGAAATAACTTCACATTAACTATTGATTTTTAGGATTAATTTTCGGTTCATTATGAAGTCAAATACAAAACAAATTAGTAAATTATAAAACGCAAGATCAACCACCCGTTCTGGCTCTCACACAAAATTAATTAGCTATTCACAGACTGTTTATTTACAGGGATTTCTCTGACCTTAGACTAAAGGGAGATATCTACTAAAGACAAAAATTACGATAAGGATGTCAATCGATAGTTTAACCAGACTATCGATAGAATTGATAGTGCAAACACTATCAATTAATCGATAATCTATTGATATTTAAGGAACACTAGATGTAGGCTGCAGAGGTTCATGGACCACGCCTGATCGTTGGTTGTATTAAATTATTAAAATAAATATATAGATATTGGTAAATCCAATTGGGCATGCCTTAAGCGCATTAAAAAATTACGTATAACATGATTATACGCAATATTTTAAAGTAGTTTAAATACATTACGACAGCACTATCGGCTCCAACACCCTCGAAAACCATGAAAATGACACCCATGATGAATAAATTGGTACGGATTTCAGCCGCCATCTTGGATTTACATTTCGACAGCACTATCGGATTCAACACCCTCGAAACCCATGAAAATAACACCCATGATGAAAAAAATGATACCTATTGCAGCTGCCACCTTGGATTTACATTTCGACAGCACTATTGGCTTCAACACCCGCGAAAACCATGAGAATGACAACCATGATGAAAAACTTGATATCTTTTACAGCCGCCATCTTGGACTTACATTTCGACAACCCTATCGGCTTCAACTCTCTCGTAAACCATAAAAATGACACCCAAGATGAAAAAATTGATATCTATTGCAGCCGCCATCTTGGATTTACATTTCGACAGCACTATCGGCTTCAACACCCTCGAAAACCATGAAAATGACACCCATGCTGAAAAAATTGGTACCTCATTCAGCCACCATCTTGGATTTACATTCCGACAGTACTATCGGCTTCAACACCCTCAAAACCATGAAAATGACACCCATGATGAAAAAATTTATACCTATTGCAACCGCCACCTTGTATTTACATTTCGACAGCACTATCGGCTTCAACACCCGCGAAAACCATGAGAATGACACACATGATGAAAAAATTGATATCTATTGCAGCCGCCATTTTGGATTTACATTTCGACAACCCTATCGGCTTCAACTCTCTCGAAAACCATGTAAATGACACCCATGATGAAAAAATTGATACCTATTGCAGCCGCTATCTTGGATTTACATTTCGACAGCACTATCGGCTTCAACACCCTCGAAAACCATGAAAATGATACCCATGATGAAAAAATTGGTACCTCATTCAGCCGCCATCTTGGGTTTACATTTCGACAGCACTTTCGGCTTCAGCGCCCTCGAAAACCATAAAAATAATACCCATGATGAAAAAATTTATACCTTTTGCAACCGCCACCTTGTATTTACATTTCGACAGCACTATCGGCTTCAACAACCTCGAAAACCATGAAAATGACACCCATGATGAAAAAATTTATACCTATTGCAGCCGCCATCTTGGATTTACATTTCGACAGCACTTTCGGCTTCAGCACCCTCGAAAACCATAAAAATGATACCCATGATGAAAAAATTTATACCTATTGCAACCGCCACCTTGTATTTACATTTCGACAGCACTCTCGGCTTCAACACCCGCGGAAACTATGAGAATGACACTCATGATGAAAAAATTGATATCTATTGCAGCCGCCATTTTGGATTTACTTTCGACAACCCTATCGGCTTCAACTCTCTCGAAAACCATGTAAATGACACCCATGATGAAAAAATTGATACCTATTGCAGCCGCTATCTTGGATTTACATTTCGACAGCACTATCGGCTTCAACACCCTCGAAAACCATGAAAATGACACCCAAGATGAAAAAATTGATATCTATTGCAGCCGCCATCTTGGATTTACATTTCGACAGCACTATCGGCTTCAACACCCTCGAAAACCATGAAAATGACACCCATGATGAAAAAATTGGTACCTCATTCAGCCACCATCTTGGATTTACATTCCGACAGTACTATCGGCTTCAACACCCTCGAAAACCATGAAAATGACACCCATGATGAAAAAATTTATACCTGTTGCAGCCGCCATCTTGGATTTACATTTCGACAGCACTATCGACTTCAACACCCGCGAAAACCATGAGAATGACACCCATGATGAAAAACTTGATATCTATTGCAGCCGCCATCTTGGAATTACTTTTCGACAGCACTATCGGTTTCAGCACCCTCGAAAACCATGAAAATGACACCCATGATGAAAAAATTTATACCTATTGCAGCCGCCATCTTGAATTTACATTTCGACAGCACTATCGGCTTCAACATCCGCGAAAACCATGATGACAACCATGATGAAAAACTTGTTATCTATTGCAGCCGCCATCTTGGAATTACTTTTCGACAGCACTATCGGTTTCAGCACACTCGAAAACCATGAAAATGACACCCATGATGAAAAATTGATACCTATTGCGGCCGCCATCTTGGATCTAAATTTCGACAACCCTATCGGTTTCAACACCCTCGAAAACCATGAAAATGTCACCCATGGCAAAAAAATTGATACTACTTACTTTTAGTACGTACTACTATTATTTATTCTGTGCTTTTAAAATATTGTAAAAAAGTCTCTTATTATTATTATAATCAAGTATTTAAGTAATTTGGTTATTCGAATATTGTGTATTTCTACAGCGATCTTTTTGAGCCGCTGCAAACAACCGAAACAATGTCCACTCACGACGGCGACTGACGGCGAACTGAGCAACTGAGTGAGTGAGTAAACTACTCTCTGGTTATAGCTCCCCATTGACAGAAATAATTTACATACAAGGCTACCAAATCAACGAAAATTTCGCCATTATGGAGCTGAAAAAAATTAATTATAGCTAAACAAAATAAAATTACACTGCCATTTACATTCAGTGGCTTCCCACATGATAGATGAAGAGATTAAAAAATAGATTGAGTTAAATAATTGATATTTTCAAAAGTTATCGTGTTTAAAAGCCTTGGGGACATGATAAATCCACACCATAAGCCACTAAAACCCCTTTTTTTATTTAAAAATAGCAATTAATCGATTTAAAAAAAAATATTAATAAGTTCAACAATCATTTATCTTTCTAACAATGTGATTTTTATATCATTTATATGTATAATATGATTGCTAGATACGATTTTATTAGATAAAACGTTGTAATCTTAATTTTTAGGCGACAGTAGAACATACCTTGCGCTTTCGCTTAAGGCATGCAATAACAGTAGCAATAAATACTGCTTTTGAATTTTAGCCTAAAAGTGCTTCATATTTACTATCAGCCCATGTTAGTTGTCATTCTGGACATGACATTTTCATTTCCTGCCATCCGCATTGCACAGATTTAACCGTCACCGTCTAACTCGAGTCAGAGACAAAATTTCAATAATTAGTCTTTGTAAATGTGATCTTATTACATAGAGTAATTTATAATTAGTTTCTGGTTTAAACTAGAGTTGGTTTCAATTAAGAAGTCCTGTAGAAAGCCGAGCTGTACGAAGCCTAATTCAGTTAGTGGTAGACGCGTAAGGTCCGACTTGTCTCTGGCGTAGTACCTACTGTCTCTAGCGTTGGGAGAGGATGTACTTTCGGGTACAAATTTTTACAGACCCCATAGACTCTGCGTAACCGGATGGGGGTTAGTTTCACAGGTAGAGATCCAGGCCGTGTAGGAACGCGTGCTTATATTCTGGCGCTCCTTGCCTAAGGAGTAGAGAGAGGTGTTGTCCCCTCTCGAGAGGACTGCCAAGGGGTGGCTTAGGCTAGTGGTAAAGCGTTTGGTAGTGAAAATGGAACAGGCTAGGATTCTAGTCGGTGCTTGTCCGACACAACTGACCCATCCTTGACCCCGCGAGGCGGCTATTATAGTTTTCCCCATGAGAAAACTGAGCTCACATATCAGGGTACAGCCAATTATAAGTCCACCTGCTAAACATAAGCCTCCCCCATTGATTACCATTACAGTCTTGAATCAGCTGCATTCAGCGACTACCTGCGTGTTTGTCAAATAGTCATTGCATCTAGTGGGTCTATTTACACAATAAGTAAAAAAATCGACTCCTTTTTACATGTTGGACTATACAAAGACATTGTTAGTGGGTACAAATATGGAATAAATTCACTAATAGTGCTAGTACTTACCTACTGTCTAAGCTTTTTTACTTTATTTTTCATATTGGGCGCGTTAATTTTTAATAATAAAAAGGCTTTTTGCATACATACATCATCACTATCATCATTCCAGTTCATCAAAAATCCACTGCTGAACATAATCCACCTTCACAGATTGCCGCATACAGGAAAGTTTGTCATAGTTGGTGCGCTAAGTAGGCAGTTTTTTTTTTAAAATTACAATCGGTTGTTTTCAGAAAGATGTTTCGCTTCTTACAACACCCACGTGTTGATGATATTTTTAGTGACGATAATGGCTTTAGAGATAGAAAAGGGGTTTGTAGAACTTTTGTATAGGCTTTGGATATAAAGTCGAGTTATAAATATAACTTTTAATACTATGAGACCTAATAGATAAGTAACGAAAGTGCTTCCATTGAGTTATAAATATTGCATATAGCACTCAAGATAATACTAAGTAGTACAATGTAGTCGACAACTTTACAATAGATATATAGGAATCTTAATAGAAGTTTTACCCTATTGTAAAATTATAGCTTGACAGAAGCACCAAAAGCGGTATATTTGTTAAATATAACGTGTAACTAGAGCCAGTGTCTGCATCAGGCATTCTAAAGATATTTTATGCGGCTATAAAAGTTTTGAGTCTATCCTGTATTACCTACCATTAATACAGAAAAGTCTGTACAAGATCTTTAATAACTTTACGAATTATGAATTATTTTGTGAAATCAAATTACTAACGGACCCTCAAATTTTGGATAGTAAAAAGATTCTTAAAGTGCTGTTGTACCTCAAGTTAGTAAAAATACCCCAGAGTCCGCTTATTGTAGTATGTAAAGCTCTAAAATAATTATCACTAGCGCCGTACTGCTTCTAAAATCGTTATAATGGATATAGTAGACGTCTAAGGCCATTATATAGCAGTATTTGATAAATTATCAGTTTTTTTAGATATAGAGCATAATTTTCTCAAGAAATAAACCCTTTTACATTTCAAGCCCTAATAAGTTTACCACAAGCTCCAATAACTCAATCGAAAAAAACAGCAAAATAAACTTTAAAATTAGTAGGATAAATTACAGCAAATTCCACAGGTCTCACGGGCGCATCAAAGATTTTGCTTAATTAATGCATATTTTGACAGAAAACTGATTCTCGCACTAATATTCTACGTAAATAAGTGAAATTAAATCATTATCTTACTTTACACTAATCAACTTTTTTTTAATGTTTTCCACCGTAACGCATCACGATTAATTTTAAATAATATTTTTCATTTTTGTTCTGTCACTATAGAAACAGAAACTTTTTTATTCAATATAGATTATAAATAATACTTATTGAAAGTCACTCTTGCGTTTAATTACCACTGGTTCGAAAAAAAACCTCTGTCTTGGGAAGAACCAACAAGAAACCCACAGTGTATGTTACACAATTAACTACACAACAAATTAGGAATAACTTAGTAGCGATCACCTCATTCCCAGGGCTTATTATCATCCATACATTCCTAAGTAATAACCCTTTTTATACAAACTTAGTTTAATAAAGTTTTTGAACTTTGAGCAGGTCAAATTTTGTATGTGTTCTGGAATTTTGTTGTAAAAGCGTATATATCACCCCAAGAATGAAGTAACTGACTCGGTGGAGTCGAGTAACTGCTACGTACTTGCTTCAGTTTGAGCTTGTGTCTGTTCCTAGTATTTACAGAATGAATATCACTTATTTTTGAATGAATATTACTTTTATTTTTGTGTACGTACATTACATTGCCATAAATGTATTGAGAGGCCAAAATTAATATATTAATTTCTTTAAATTTTGTTAAACGGCTGCTGTAGCGCTTTGTTATACCGTTTGTGTGCTACTTGGGTATATATATATATACATATATATAACGAACGGAACGGAACGAAGTACTCGTAGGTTACCGGACGGTACATGTTTGGCGGATGGGAGCTACGCGACAAAGAGTGTAAGATTTTTTCGTCGCTACTCCTTGTGTCATAGTGTATTTTATTTTTTAAATGACGCTTCATTTTAATAGACGCTAATAATTAATTATATATACAATATTTAACAAAAACCCTGTGGTTCCCGTTAAGTACGTTATCAGGATCAGTATTCAAACGTATAGAAATAACATTTTTTTAAAACTCGACCATATTTTTTTCCGTCTAGCTTACACTCACCATTAGTAACATATTTGAAGCAGTTGGTTGTACTTTTGTGCGGAAGAAATTATGATATAACACAATTTTTCGCCTCACAACCGCTCGTCGTGGATTTAGACCATCATCTGGAATTTTACTGGGTGGAAAAAGCTCTGTAATTGGACATTGAAAATAAATTGCTAATGTTCTTTTAAATAACAACAATTATATAAGAATATTATCTAACATTACACATCGCTCTTTTTCGATTACCTGTATAACAATTATATTTTAATAATTTAACATAGTTGTAATCTCTCATAAAATAAACTCATAATTTACATGTATTTCATTTAGATACTTACGTCTGTTACTCCATTGTCTTGCGGTTTGTAATAATATAACAGTGTTTAAAAGGATCAAAATAATAAGCCACATTACATTTCGCGTCAGCATTCTGAAAATATATTTTTAATTACTTTTCACATATAATTACATGTATACCTTTGAGTATGTTACAATCAAAACTCTTTTTCCCGGTCAAAACTACTACTGACCCAAAATCAGGCAACAGTAGTTTGGACTGAAAAATATCGATTAAAAGTTGTTTTGAATAAGAATGATTATTTAAGTCACTTTTCACCAGAAGCATCTAGTGTAAAGTGTTATGTAGGTATTATGTTTTACAATTTTTTATGGCCTTTTTTATGGAACTGTTAACTCTTATATTATAAAAAACTGATAACTAATATAATTACGTATATGAATACCGTGGTATCTCACGAAGTATGAAGTAGCTTAATTGCTCCATAACTCTCTCAAAAATGAAACACTTTAACTTTGTGTGTATAATAAAACAAATAAATTATTTCCAAATTTGATTGCATTGTATTAATGCTTTGTCTCTGATACTGCAAGTTTATCCCTACTCGTCTTACTAAAAGTGCGTGTTCATTTAAGCATACACTTTTAGGGCTATGTATAATAATCCAAAGCCGTTGACAAATTTCGATATCATTTGGAAATTATTAGAGGTTTTATTAGTCGATTGTTAACCGATTTTGATGACACTTTTTTTTATAAAATAGGTACTTCAGGTGAGGTCTCAAATAAATTAGAAGAAAAATTCAACACCTAAGGCTGGTAAAATAGGAGATAAAGTTTTAATGGAATCATCTAGATGACATTGAGATAATATTCCTTAGTTCACTCAAAAGGGTGAAAAAAACTTTTACTATAGATCATTTATATGCAGCAGGAAGAGAGTTGCGGAGAAAACGAACCCCTGAGGAACACCGGCGTTAGTCGTCACAGGATCGGATGAGCAGCCATTGAAGACGACCCGGAGAAACCGTTCACTCAGAAAGTCCTCCACCCAGTCATCAGGCCAGGGGATAAGCCGTACGCTGATAGCTTTCCCAATACACTAACGTGCCAAACCCTGTCAAAGGACTTGGAATCATCGAGGGAAACAGCAAGTGCTTCACCACTGTTCACAAGGGCTTCGCCCCATATGTGAGTGGCATACGCTAGAATGTCCCCCGTGGATCGATTTCGGCGAAACCCGTACTGGCGGTCACTGAGGAGATCATTCTGCTCTAGGTATACCATGAGGTGGGCGTACAATATACGCTCCATAATCTTGTATAGTATGGAGGTAATTGAAATTGGCCGATAGTTGGCAGGGTCGGTACGGCTACCTTTTTTTAGGCACAGGCTGCACATTGGCCAGCTTCCAAGATTTGGGCACTATTCCAGTCTTGAATGAGAGGCGGAACAAGTGTGTCAACATAGGAGACAACTCAGGTGCACAGACCTTTAGAACTATAGCTGGTATACCATCCAGTCCACTAGTATTGTTCATGTCTAGACTTCGCAACGTTTTAAGAACCTCCTTGTTGGTGATACGGACCTCTGACATAGCGGTACCGCAGTGAGGTAATTGAGATGGTACACTATTGCTACTGTCCAGAAGCGAATTGCAAGCAATTAGAGAAGCAAATAAGGCCGCTTTCTCCTTAGGGGCATGCGACAGTAAACCTGGTTTTACCAGCGGAGTCAGTGTAGACCGACAGAAGTTTGTCTCCCCGTCCCGCTTTGGCGAAAGACCAAAAAGCACTACTGCCATATAGTTTGACAGAGAGCTTTGTACCGATGCGTTTAACGCGGTCGAAACTAGCTTGCCCTAACGCCTTTTTGCAGGACTTGGCGACTTGGTTAAAGGCTCTTTACTTAAGGCTAACATCCGAAGCTTTGCGGTCTCAAGCATCGACCAAGGATAAGCACGCCATATACTTGTGCTTTTCATCACGAACGCACTTGGTGTTGAACCATGGGTGAGTTTTAACACCAATGGGCACGTCAGCAAAGGGGATGAAATACTCTATCTTTTGACCTATCACATCGGTTATGGCATCCGCACAGCATGACGGGTCTTCAGAGAAGAAACAGGCCTGCCGCCAAGGATAAGATGCAAAGAAATGCCGCATTTCATCCCAATTTGCTGACTTGTATCGCTACACTCGCCGCACATCGTGGAAATCGTAGTTAGGTAGGGAATATAACTACACAAATTTCACCAGACAGTGGTCAGAAGTTCCCAAGAGTGAGGTAGCCTAAACATCGTACCTGTCTGGATCGGTAGTCAGCAGAAAGTTGAGGCAGTTGGCTGTGTGCCCATCCACATCAGGTACCCTAGTCGCTTGTTGTATAAGCTGGGAGAGCTTCAACTACAAGACAAAATTCCACGCCTCTCTCCCAGCGTAGGAGAGTCAATCCTGATGACAGGCATTAAAGTCCTCCAGAAAAGCCAACTGTGCATTAGGGTTCCGATTTAGAGCCGCATCAGAGGCTTCACTGAGGTGTTCAAATAGCCTAGTTGTCTCCTGGTCACCGCTGTGCGATCGGTAGACACATCAAAGATAATACATATTTTGACAGAAAATATATATATATATATATATATATATATATATATATATATATATATATATACAATATGTAACAAAAACCCTGTGGTTCCCGTTAAATACATAATCACGATCACTATTCAAAACTATAGAAATAACTTTTTTTTAATAAATAATTTTATCCATTCCTGTGTCTATCATACCCAGATCGTAGAGAAAGTGGGGTCTTCAAGATGGCCAAGGTACGCCGCATCTAGAGAACATATATCTGATCTGCGTCTCAGTAAAGAAGGATAAATGCGGCTTGTTAGTCTCATGGTAGTAGTGGACTGCACTAAGATTACACTGCAGGCCCCGGATGTTTGTGAGGTGCACTTTGATGGAGAGGGAGTGCAACCGCTGTACAAACTTACTCTTCTTTTTCCTTTTTTTTCATAAATGGTGGAGTTAATAGGTTGAGAGAATGGCAGTTGGACGAGGCATCACACATAATATAACCTAGGGATGCAAACAGTGTCACAGCATCGATGGTACCTAGCTTGAAGATCTCGAGGCCGCCTGAACCCCCCTGGAAATCGCCACCAGGCCCTCTTCTCCGGTCACCAAATGGCATGGTGGAGCCATCCCATGATTTTTCGTAAGATGGCGTGGCAGCCTTTCATGAGTGGTTGTCTCATTAATTAGGCCCCCATCTACCTACGGTCGACTAGCGGTGCAGCCGTGCTTAGGATCCCGCTAACCCCCATAACCAGGCACCTGACACTAAAGAGCCGCGTCGCAACCGGTTCTTGCGCAATGCAACTGTCTAGACCCATTCTCCCTAAGAAATTGGTTTCACCTAACATCATACTGGAACACGACTTGTATCATTTGGCAGTATGTCTTTGCCAGGTGGGTGGTAACTAACCCTTGGCCGGGCTCTCACTAGTATAGGACCAATCTACCACCAGTAGGTAGTGCTGCTCGTATAGCACTACCCAGGTGATACGTGTAGGGAATCAGAATTTAAGTAATTCCTACGGACGCGAACAGCTTCATCCCCCAAAGATTCAGAAGAAGAAAAATTTTTACAGAAGAAGAAAAATTTTTACCAGAGTTACAAAATTTCACTGCAGGACACATCACTAATTGTATCAGCCTTTGTTTTTATAATCTGCGGTATCGCATCATGACACACCTTAATACCCTTTATCCTAAATAATATTATTATACTAAGTCAATAACTTCTTCTACTCCCTACAAAAATAGGTTGTTGAGAAAGAAATTCTTATGTTATTATTTAAATAATGTACTCAATTGACACCATGATCAACAATATCAAATAAGTAAGATGCATAACAAATTTTGAATACGAGAAACTAAATTGACTTCAATTTCAATTAATTAATGGAACTCAATTGAAAACTGCTCCGATATCAGTGGGTGTATAATATATAGTTATATAAAATACAACTATATCGTTATATTTTATATACCTACATATAATAAATAACGATATATTTTGTCTTATTTTAGAAAAGATTACAATTAATTATTTACCTAATTTATCACATAGGAATAGAACTTGCTGAAACTGGTCCCTAAACATAAAATCTTAATATGGATTTTTTTTTGTTTATCACAGGTTCACAGGTTATAAATATAACCACTGAATTTTCAAACATCAGTTTGAAAATTCAGTGGTTATATATACGAATCATTCCATCTCAGTCCTCAGGAGTGACAACGCATCTGCATTTTGATTCTGAATTGATGATAAATGTAAATGTCTATGGACCACAGCATCCACTTACCATCAAGTGGACTGTGTGCTCGTTTGTCACCCTCATTCTATAAAAAAATAGATTTGGAAAGAACCCCTAATTATGTAGAATGTACTTTATTTATTTTTTTAGTTTTTGAAGTCAGTTTTAGTTTTTATTAAGTTTACTACATTTGACTACCTAGAATATCACAAATACTTTCTCACCCTTTGGGTTGAAATTTTTTTATTAAATTTATAGTGGACCACCCCTAATAATAAAAAAAAGAATCATTAAAATCGGTTTTTAAATAAAAAGTTGGTAAACATACTCGTACATTCAACAAACACACGTAGAATATAGAACCATCTCATTTTTTAAAGTTGGGTAAAATATAACGATCATAGTAGCATTGACAAAAAAGTGATGTGTACAAACACACACACACACATATATATACACACACCCACACACACACACACACACACACACACACACACACACACACACACACACACACACACACACGCACGCACGCACTCACGCACGCACGCACGCACGCACGCACGCACGCACGCACGCACGCACGCACGCACGCACGCACGCACGCACGCACGCACGCACGCACGCACACACGCACGCACGCACGCACGCACGCACGCACGCACGCCCGCCCGCACGCACGCACGCACGCACGCACGCACGCACGCACGCACGCACGCACACACACACACACACACACACACACACAAACACGCACGCCTGCGCGCGCGCGCGTGCGCGTTCTCACATACATCATAGGTTA